ACTTCAATTAGAACTTCTACTGGAGCGACTCCGTATTCATTGGTTTATGGGATGGAGGCCGTTCTACCTATTGAAATTGAGGTTCCGTCTTTGCGAGTGCTAGCTGAGTGTCAGATAGCCAAAGCAGATTGGCAACAGAATAGATATGAAGAACTCATGCTTTTTGACGAGCGCAGGCTGAAAGCACTGTACCACGTTCAAGGCTATCAGCGCAGAATTACCGGGGCTTTCAAAAAGAAAGTTAAGTCCAAGAATCTAAAAAAAAGGAGATTTGATGCTCAAAGACAACCGAGCTCCCATCCACGACCCAAGGGGCAAGTTCAGACCCAATTGGACTGGTCCCTACATCATCAAGTCAATCTGGTCAGGTGAAGCTGTGGTTCTGATGGACCTAGATGGCTTAGAGTTCTCGCAACCGATCAACATGGACAAGTTGAAGAAATATTACCCCTGAGAGGCTCGCTAGGCCGAAAACCCGCAAAGGGCGACCTAGGCAAAAGTTAGAGCATTGAAAAATTGGAAAATATAAAAACTGAGCTCGCAAGGTTGAAAACCCGCAAAGGACGGCCTTGGCAAAAGTTAGAGCGTAAAAGGAGAGTGAAAATACTCAAGTGAACCTAAGCCTGAACTACGTAAGGCTTGATTCCCATCTTTGGGATACGTAGACAACTTCATCCTGAAGTTCAGCCATAAACTTTTCCCCGATCAACTTTGTCCATTTGATCATCTCGGCCATCTTTGTCTATTCAGCATTCAAGAGTTCGGTTATGATCTCCGGTGCAGTGCTCTTCAGACTAGGGGCAACTTTCCGTTGCTGTGCAGTGTTGCGATACTCTTCAGACTAGGGGCAACTTTCCAATTGCAGGGATCCAAGGTTGTGCATCTTAGTGAAAGATCTCAGGCATGTCCAGTTTTGATTCCATATCGAAAATGGTTTTGAAAAGTTTTAATAAAAGTTGACTTTGTTCAAAATTAATCTTTTTACAACTTAGACCATTTTTGGACCAAAGCGAAAAATTTTCAGTACCCACAACCTTCAATTTCATTGATTTCAATACAAAGTTCTCCTGCTCTTGCATACAAATTGAAGTTGCTTTTTATTACATTCATAAAGAAAACTTGAAAGTACTAATAAAGTAATAAATCTGGGGCATAGCTAAGTTAGGTGTTCCTGCGCCCCCTTCCAGAGCTGGTCGAAGCCTCTGATGCAAAAGTAGGCCCTTCCTGTGCCTCTTCATTGAGCCAATCCAAGCACTCATCAGACAAGGTGCAACTGAAAGTAGGAACAGGGGCCAGGAGCTCTCTAGTCCTCCATGCTGTGGCATACCGGACAAGCTGTGCACCTCGAACTGGGAATGCGGAAGGATACTCTATCCCCTCTAGCGCGCAAGTCTGATCATGGCGAACTGGCGTCAGAACCGGAAGGGAAAGTAGAACACACAGTGAGTCAGACCAATCAACTGGATCCCGGTCTGCCGGGACATGCTATAGCTCATTGCCAGAAGATTGAGCCAAGGACAGCGCCAAGCAATGCGATCCGCAGACAAATTGCACATCTAGTCGAACCACCATCCCTCATCAAGGGCATCGACTAGTCGTTGTCAGAAGAAGTAACCGCGAGCTGAGTAGGCTGGGCAACAGTCCACAACTTGCAATTTATCCATCAACCATACCTAGGGAGGGATGAAAAATGAGAGAATAAATAATAGAGAGATGTACGATGAGAGAAAAGTAAGAAAAGGGTTTTGTGAGAAAAACCGAGCCTGAGGGGGGAGTGATGTGAGCAATATATATGTGAGAAAGGGTGGGAAACATTACCTGCAGCAGTAGTGGACTCCTCGCGAATCTGGTCTTCTCTCGGCGATAAAAAGCAACTAAGCCCATCAGCGTCTTGGCCAATGTCAGGGCAATGCAGCTCTTTCCTTCTTTCAAGCCTTGAGTAACTTCAATCAGACGGATGCTAGATCCACTAAAGCCCAGGGAAAGCAAAAAGTGAGATAGCATGCACAAGCAAAGGGCGTGTTGCCGAAAACCTTACCAATGATGGTCGCCGCGATTACCGGCATCAGAAAAACAATGAATCAAGCCAAGGATATCCAGTTCCCCGTTGCAGATCAGAGACCGAGCATCATGCATGGTGAGCCCACACATCTGTCCTAAAGCTTGGACGTGACCGAAACGAAGTTGGGACAAAATCTCATCATGGCGCTCAGATTCCATCAAAACTTGAAAATCTTCAAAGGTTGGACACATCTCTTGCCCGCCGAAGCTAAAGACGTGTGTTACCGGATTCCAAAACCTCACCGCGGCATGGAGGAACGGAATGTGCAGCAAAGTACGGCTCAGCGTGAATAGTGCATTCAAGCCGAAACCCCGGAAGTTCAACTTTTCCGAGCCATCTAGAAAAGCAATCCAAGCTATGAGATTTTGGGCGAGAAATGCCTCCATTTTGGTGCAAAACTAAGATGAAATGAGAGAACCATGAGGCTGGAGTTTTTAAAGAGGATAAGGCACTGTTCGGAGGACACGTGTCGAAAATTTGGTGGTTGCCAAGCTACGTGGCCGGCCGGCCACCTTTTCTGGTAGGCCGACCACCCCTCTCCCCTCCAATGCAAAAAGCTGGTCGGCCAGCTCCCTTAGGTGGTCGGCCATCAAGGGGAGGGTGGCTTTAGTCTTGTTCTAGCCTCTAGAAGAAAATTCGAAGCATTTCCATGCATTGGGGGCGTTAAAAGTGCGAGCTTTCCTCTGTTTCGGATGCATTCCGTCGCCCAGATCTTCCGAAATGCATTTGTTTATCGAGTTGTTGTTAAATCCTGCTTATTGAGTTATTTTTGCTTATCGAGTTGTTGCTTTGCTTACCGAGTTGTTAAGCTTACCAAGTTGTTAAGTTTTGTCGAGTTGACGAGTTTTGTGTATTGAGTTGTTACTCTTTGTTTATCAACATTGTTGTGTCTTGCTTATCGAGTTGTAAACTTGCTAAGGTTCTGTCCTTTCTTAGTAAGTTAAGTTGTTTTGTTTGTTGCGTCGGTTCACTACCTGACTTGCCAATTTTCAATGCATGATTTCCATTCAATCTCATTTTTGTGTAAAATAATGCCATGCGATGCAAGAACATAAAATACAACACTTTTTTTTGAACAAAAGCTGTTTCATTCCATCATGTTTCCTTTGTTACAACATTTTACAACAAGGGTACAAGTTTTACAGAAAATAAAAAACTGTCTAATAATGTACAATGTGTTACAACTACTAGTAAAAAAAGCAAATAAAGCAGGAACATCTGTGCTCTCAAGCACGAGAAAAAGAGGCCCTCTTCGTCCTCTTCTGCGGAACAGCCTCAGCACCATCATCACCATCTGAGTCAGAGCTGTCATCCTCGAGATCCTCCTCGACCTCATCACCTCCGCCCTCAGAGCCAGACTCAGAGTCACCCTCTTTGCCGGCAGATGTCTCTGACTAACGATGCGCGGACTCCTCATCCTCGCTGGACTCCTCCTCAATGATATGTGCTCTGCGCCCGCCTCATCCGCAAGACGACTCCCCTCTCCCAGCTCTCCGAGAAGGCCTAGATGGCCCAGCTCCTCCAGAAGGCCCAGATGGCCCGACCTGTGGTCCGGTATATCTTGAAGGCATCTGAAAAGAAAGAGTGCAATTTGAATACATCAGCCAAAATATGTATATCAGATGTACAGATAAAAAGCTACATGGAGTGGATGTATGCAAATGTAGTACATAGATGTGGTGTGTGTCAGATGTGCTCTCCGCATACAGTCGGTCAATCAATGCAGTGAAATGTTCAAATTCAGCATGTCATCAGAAATATGATAAATGCAAGAAAACTAAACAGTACCGAGACACCCATGATGGACAGCTGCGCCTCTCTCCGCAGGGCCATGCCTTCGAGCGAGGCCACTAACCCAAGTAACCCCTCAGCATACTCCGTGGTAGGTTGCAGATGCCAGTGCAAATCATCAGTGAATGAATGAATGTCCAAGTATCTAAGTGATAAAGCAAAGCTGAAAAACATACCGGTGGTGAGTCAGGGTCTCTGGTGTATGGATGATCAGGCATAGGAGACTCCAGTGGAATTAGGTAGGAAGCCCTGTATCTCTATCCCGTCAACTCAGTCGGGATACCTGGCCATCCGGCATGCTGATAAGTCGGGGGAATCAGAGGAACCAGTCTAGCCCCACCTCTGGATGTGCCAGCCCTACTGGCCGAAGGAATGTCTCTGGCTCGGGTGCGACTCGAAGACGGCATGCCGGTAGATCTCCTCAAGGGAGTACGAACACCTGTCAATGGAGGCATCAAGTAGGTGTGACGGTAGGTCGCGTACTCCCCGTTCTCCAAATATAGCAATGCATCAATGCCCAGCCTGGCATCAATGACACCCTGGGGAGTAAGCCTATCAGCGAGCCGCATATCCTCTAGGGGTGCTGAAGGGACACTCGGCTCAGGGAAGCCCATAGTCTGACGAAGAAAGCGTTCCCCCAGGAACCAGGCCTTACCAACTGGCCCCTCAATCAAGATCCTATACCGGGAGAATGCCCATCATCCGGCAAACTGGAATCGGAGATCCTCACCCAAAGGCACCCAGGGCTGCCATAAGATCTATGGATAGCCAATGCATAAGCCGATTAGAAGTCACAAATGTCCAAGCATGAATCAAAGATGAACACGGGAAGAACTAAGAGTTCTGACATACCTCGGTCGCCCACACAGTGTCAAAATACTGCCATAGGTAAGAGAGAGTCTCCCGGGGCCGCGATCGGTACTGGCCCTCGAAGACGAGCGAATAAAGGGTCATGAGAGGGGCCTCCACCTCGAGCTCTGGGGCTAGCGTCGGAAAGCACGCGAAGACCCATAACTGTGGAAAACAGGGCAAAAGCCATCAGAATACAGAATGCTGAGTGCAGAATCTGAATACAGAATGCTGAGGGCAGAATGTAAGTACAGAATGTAAAGTGTGTCGTGTGTGCAATGTACAGATAATGAAAAAATAGAAATGTGAATCAAGAGGGCAGAAGGTACCTCTCAGGCTCTCTAATAGCTGCCGACTATGTTCCCCTGTCCGCGGGAGGTCGCACTCATATAGCAATAGAGGGTAGCCAAGCTGGCGCCACCCCAGTCATACTGACTAACCTGTGTGAGGTCTACCAAGGCACTCAGCAAATATAGCCCAACGGTGTTCCCCCTGTCGGCGAACAGAGTGGTCCCGAAGAGGAACATCAAAAACCCGCAAGTGTACTGTGCAATCTCCTCAGGAGTCTCGGGCTCAGTCCCCCTTAACTGTGCAGAAAACTAGGTATATCGGACTCAGCCCGAAGATCGGTCTACCGGTGGGCGAGCTCCCAACAGATGAATCCAAGCTGCCTCCCACTCGCCCATATCCTCATCGTAAGGGATCGCCCAGCCTCCCACGTCAAGGCCCGTCAACACGACAAAGTCAAATGGGGTCATGGTCATGTCCCCGGCGGCCGAGAAATGGAAGGAGTTGGTGGTATCCCACCATCTCTCCACCAGAGCGCCCATCAATGTCCGGCTAGCTGGATAACGAGATATCCCGGTACAAAAGGTCCTGAATCCTACCAGATCAGCCCAATCGCGGACAGCCTCCGGGAGCTCTGCGTACCAATCTCTCGCAGCAATAGAATCGTATCCCTGCGTAACACGGGAGGATGTCTGCATTCATAACGAACACATGTATTCAGTTTCAGAATGGAATGAATAAACTGTATGCAAATAAAGGAAACGTGCTGTGTGCAAATCAAATCAACTTTCAATTAAATGTGGGCTGCTTGTTCATATTTCAGAAATTAAATGTTTGGGCTGCGTGTTCAACTTTCAATTAAATGTGGGCTGCGTGTTAACAATCAAATTTGGGTTGTGTGTTCAGATTTCAGAAATCTAAAGTTTAGGCTGCGTGTTCAGCTTTCAATTAAATGTGGGCTGCGTATTCACAATCAAATTTGGGCTGTGTGTTCATATTTTAGAAATTTAAAGTTTGGGCTGTGTGTTCAACTTTCGACAAATGTGGGCTGCGTGTTCACCATCAAATTTGGGCTGCGTGCTCAGATTTCAGAAATTTAAAATGTGGGCTGCATGTTCACCATCAAATTTGGGCTGCGTGTTTAGATTTCAGAAATTTAATGTTTGGGCTGCGTGTTCAACTTTCAATCAAATGTGGGCTGCGTGTTCACCATCAAATTTGAGCTGCGTGTTCAGATTTCAGAAATTTAAAGTTTGGGCTGCGTGTTCAACTTTCGATCAAATGTGGGATGCGTGTTCACTATCAAATTTTGGCTGCGTGTTCAGATTTCAGAAATTTAAAGTTTGGGTTGCGTGTTCAACTTTCAATTAAATGTGGGTTGCGTGTTCACCATCAAATTTGGGCTGTGTGTTCAGATTTCGGAAATTTAAAGTTTGGGCTACATGTTCAACTTTCAATCAAATGTGGGCTACGTGTTCACCATCAAATTTGGGCGGCGTGTTCAGATTTCAGAAATTTAAAGTTTGGGCTGCGTGTTCAACTTTCAATTAAATGTGGGCTGCGTGTTCACATCAAATTTGGGCTGTGTGCTCAGATTTCGAAAATTTAAAGTTTGGGCTGCGTGTTCAACTTTCAATTAAATGTGGGCTGCGTGTTCAGATTTCAGAAAATTTAAAGTTTGGGCTGCGTGTTCAACTTTCAATCAAATGTAGGCTGCGTGTTCACAATCAAATTTGGGCTGCATGTTCAGATTTTAGAGATTCAAGTGATTGAGCCATGTGTTCAAGACAGAGTATTGTGTTGTACACTAAGCGTGCAGAAAAAGTTGTGTGCTAAAATGAGCAGAAGCATGACATGCGAATGTGTTCAGAACGAGCAATAGGCATACATAACATGAAATGCAAGGAAAATGCAGAATTAAGGCAGGAAATGTTAAAAAGTGAAGTACATACCTCTCGCGCCTCATGAGAGAGATGGGTCTCCGGCTCCCGCAATAGCAGGTCTACAGGAGCTCGAGGGTCGAAGTTGGTAAAATGATAAAAAATCGCCCGAGGGAGGACATGAGTCGAAGGATCGTACCTCTCGGGGATAAAAGGGCGAACCCTCGGATGCAAAGACATGATGTCAGGCTCGCCTCCGGCGCCTGGAGAACCTTCACCGTGGGGAAATTGACCCGCCATTTCAAGAAATCTGCAAAAAGGAGCAAAAATGAGCCAAAATTGGAAAAAGTCAACTCTCGGGAAATGAAAAAGTCAACAAAAGTCAACTCTCGAGAAAATCTTCCAAATATTGAGACAAACTTACCTCAAGTGGTGAAAATGAGAAAAGAAGCTTCGAAATCAAATTTTAATCGGTTCAAAATGAAGAGAGCTGAAAGTTTTCGCGAAACAACTTGGCATGGGGCGTTGGAAAACGCGTATAAAGCGCAGATCTGAGAAAGAAAATGGTCTAGGAAGGAGGAGAAGGCAGTTTCGGAGCTGAAGTTATGAGGAAAAGAGCTTTGGACATGTATATTTAAAGAAATTGGAGCAAAAAGACCAAACTGCTCCGGATTTGGGCTAGGTGGTCGGCCGGCCACCTTTTCTGGTAGGCCGACCACCCCTTGCACTCCAACCTGGTCGATGACCTCCCCCTGGGACCAAACCTGGTCGGTGGTGTTCCCAAGGTGGTCTATAAGGTCTCTGCAAATTTTGGTGATGATTGGAGTCCCCAGGACCCGAGAAAGTACAAGAAAAGTGCACTTTTTGTCGCGAAATCCATCCGCGGGAACTCCAACTCCAACTTTCGATGCGTGTCTCATCGTCACTCATCAAGAGCAAGATGTATCCTTTTTGAGTATGCTGTGACGCTTCCGGGAGGTAAACCGGAGGTCGCGATCGAATTGCACTCGTTGAAACTTGCATTTTTTTTGCTCGTTGTTTCGCGCCAAACATGCATTCGAGCTTGCACTTATCCTGCATTGTTATGCACGTCACTTGCATTCTCATGCATACCACTTGCATTGTTGTGCACGTTTCATTGGTATTGTTATACCCTCACGCTTAGCTTACGTTGTTACGCGCGTGTCTCTTGCATTGCGATGCGCTTTCCCATCAACACCCTGTTTGTCTGCATTCGATGTAGTGTTGAACATGTGTTGCTAATGATGCTGTACTTGTTGAGTTTCTTCCTCTTTCATGCACGATATTGTAGGTACGGTTCATTTGAAGCTGGTGCGACTAGACGAATCGCGCAGGTATTGTATCTTCTCCGTGTGAGACGTGGCGAGAATCGAACAATTCTCCGCATTCTTAAACTGCATGAAATGTAGTTGTTGCTTTGCATTCTTGCTTAAAATTGTTGCATGTGCGTTTCATTACAGCTTGCTGCTTTGCATGATCATGAGTTACATCCGGCGTTGTGCATATCATTTTGCATTTTGCCCCTGCCTGCGGGCATGCCTGCGGGCACATCTGTGTTATCTTGCCTGTTTGTCTAAGTCTTCGGCCTTGTCAAAAATGGGTCGTCTCTGGACTTTGACATTCACTCCCGTCACGTATGACTTCCGAGTTCTATCAAAGAGGGGCAACTGTAGACACCCTATTTTTGACCGACCTTAAGACTCAGACGTCACCAGTTGAACGCTCGGTGATGTTGCATATTGTGCTCGTTCTGAAGTTGTAGAGTCTCGGCTGAGAGCCTTACCTCCGGACTTTAGAGCTCTTTTGTGCCTTGCCTCGGTTTGCGAACCGAGTCCTATTTTCTTCGTTTTCTCTTCCCGAAGGGAGGGAGAGGTCTCGTAGATCATCTCTCAGTGGCCGTAGGCTACGTTTCGTGGTCGTAGGCCATTTTTCTCGTTTGGAGCCCGGTTTCCGATTTTCGGAGCCGTCGACCGTGTGCCTCGATTCGGGACCGCTTAGCTGCCTCCGTTTACTCCAGTTTTTGGCACACATCTTATTTCCTCCCTTTAGAGGAACATTGTGGCCCTGGAGACCACCTTCATGGTCATACGCTACTTTCAGTGCCTAGCAGCCTGTTTTCGGGGCCGCGAGCCGCGCGTTTTGGCCCCCGAACCTTCGTTTTGCATCCGTTTTGGTCCATTTTTGGTGGGAACCCTATTTTCACTGTTAGGGAAGTGGTAGGATGGTGGCCGGCCACCTATTCCCCTGAAAAGCTAGTTTTCTCATTTTCTCTCTCCAAAAGCCGATTTTTCTAACAGAAAGTTGGTTTTTTTCCACTTTTGAGCCACATTTTTTGGCTTTTCATACCGCCATTGTGTTGTGCTCATCTGGGAGGCCACCAATATGGATAGGCCGACCAGTAATTCACTTTGACCCTTTTGAACCTTGCTTAAAAGTTAGATTTTCTCTCTCTTGGGTCACATTTTCTAGTTTTTCTCCACAGGGCTGTGTTCTACTCATCTGGGAGGCCACCTTTCTGGGTAGGCCGACCAACAATTGTTCTTGAACCTTTTGACCCCTGGTCGGCCAACCAGGGGGAGTGGCCGGCCGGCCACTTGAACCGGCCGGCCATTTGGTGCATCCTCCATACACGTGTATAGAGGATCTTTGAAGCTTCCAAGAGAAGCCTCTCTTCTCTATAAGAGAGGCCCTCCTCTTCATCTCAGCTGGTTAGACACTTTTGCTTAAGGCTCATCACCTCCCACCTCCATTGCTACTATTCCAAGCTCCAAAACCCTAACTTCCTTGGTCCATTTACACTACAACCTATAGCACCACACCACCATCATCCATTCCAGGCCATTGGAAGTCATTTACAGAGGTTGAAAGCTCATTTTCTTGGACCAAAGGCTACTGGAAAGTCGGGCTACAAGGGTAAGCTCCTATTCTCCCCATTTTTGCACTATTTTGTTCTATATCTTAGCCCCTTTTTCTTACATTTTTGGGCTTCATCCTGAACTAAAAACAGTCTTATTTTGAGTTCATCTTCATGTTTGATTAAGGACTTTTCTCTGTTTGAAGTCTTCTACTCCCCCTTTGTGCTTTATCCCTCTTTTGGGACTTATTTTGCATGATATATTAGCCTTATTTTTGGGCATTTCTGGGCTTTGAGCCAAACTGTGAAGTACCTTATTTTGAGCCCCTCTTCAACTTTGTTGAAGGACTCTTTACTGTTTGAGGCCATCTACTGCCCCTTTCCCTTTATCTCTCTTTTAGGGCTATTTTTGCATCATATTTTAGCCTTACTTGTGAGCATATTAGAGATTTGACATAAACTGTAAAGTATCTTTTTTTGAGCCTCTCTTCAACTTTGTTGAAGGGTTATTTGCTGTTTGAGGCCTTTTGCTGCCCTGTTTGTTCAATCTCTTTTAGGGCTGTTTTTGCATGATACATTAGCCTTATTTATGAGCCATTTTAGACCTCGACTTAAATTGAAAAAAATCTTGTTTTGATATCATCTTTATGTTTGATTAAGGTCTATTATCTTTTTGGGGTCATCTTCCCCTATGCATGCTCCATTCCTTC